AATGTAGGTGGCTCCATTGCGGATAGTGCCGATCGTGCATAGCGGAGTACCTTCTTCTCAAAGCCTTGGTGAGCCCCTTTCTCCTTCAAGAGGCTATGTTGTACATCTTTTGATATAGAGATCCACTCTTGAGGTATAGCCGGGATCTTGTTGCCGGCGTTGTCATCATTGTCTTTTGTATCCTTAGAGGCTCCATAGACGTATGTGTGGGTTATGTACGGTTGTTGGATGGGTCTATGAACTATATTGTAATTCTAACTCTTGTTTCTCTAAAGTGAAATTGTATTGAATCTTGGGAACTTAACTACGGTTTAAGGTTGTGATGAAAAATGAACTAGCAATGTTGAATGTGCAATCTTTCCTATTGTTTAAATAAACGAAAGCATGGTTTCCTTAATCATTTCGAGTTGGGTAGAAAGTGTTCGATAAGGCTTGCTCAGTTGGGTTCACTCGATTGAGCGCCGGTCGCGCCTCCCGAGGTTGGGGCGCGACAATTTATCAGCAATGTTAGTATCAAAGTGGGGAATGGCAATAAAACTTCTTTCTGGAATGATGATTGGATTGGTAATGGACCTCTTAAAGAGGCTTTTCCAGATTTGTTCACTATAGTGTAGCAAACCCAAGCTACTGTGGCTGAGGTATGGAGTATGCAGGGGTGGAATGTTACGTTCAGAAGGTTCCTCAATGACTGGGAGGTTACGAGAGTGATTGAATTCTACAAATTGTTGGATGGCTTTAAGGGCATCACAGAAGAAGACGACAGCCTTATATGGGAAAGAAACAACGGAGGAGTATATACTGTAAAGTCAGCAAATGGAATCTTGAACTGGTCACATGAACAATGGGACATGGCACTGGAAGCACATCTGGAAGGTGAAAATCCTTTTTAAAGTGGCTTGCTTTTGTTGGCTTGTAGTCAAAGAGGTTGTTCTACCTCATGACTGTTTAATGAGAGGAATGCTTATGTGTTCCAAATGTTTCTTGTGTGGAAAAGAGATTGAAACAAACAGCCACCTCTTTTTACATTGCAAAGTAACTAGTAGGCTGTGGTATCTTTTCATGAGCATGAAAGGTGTGAAATGGGCAATACCTAGGAGACTAGGACAACTACAGAAATGTTAGCTTGTTGGAATGACCCAGGTATTCTATTGAGGCAGAAGCATTGGTTGAGGTTGATCCGAGAATGTATTTGGTGGACAATTTGGTTGGAGAGGAATTCAAGGTGCTTTGAAGATAGAGCTAACACTGAACAGAAGATCAAGACGAATTGTATATTTTTGTTTCACTTTTGGTTTAAAGAAGCTCTGGTAGAGGATGTAGAGCTATAGTGGATATTATTGGGTCTTTGTAACTACCACAAGTCTGGATTTGCGTTTTGGCTCCTTTTCGAGGGTCTTGTAACTATCTTTAACCTTTAGCATAATCTTTATGCTAAAGGTTTTTCTACTTAATTTATAAAACTTGTTACCTTCTCAAAAAAAAAAAGAAGCAAAATGCCCTTACCATGGTAATATAATAGACTAAATCATAAGAATCCCAAATAACCAGAGGTAAGTTAAAAGGGTCTTACGGGACAAAAACTGAGTTGTATTCCTGCTCCAAGCATATGACGCATAAATCTGGCATTAAATGGTGAGTATCCACTCCATTCTCAGTTGTAGCATTAGAACCTACAAAACGACAGGAAGCAAAATAGTACAGTTTGATGGCAAAGCAACCAAGGATTGAGACAACATGATAGAAGAATGAAAACCGAGCAGGCTACCTTCATCCTCATGTCCTGTCCTTTTAGCAGCAGCAGCAAGAACTCTGCACGATCAAGTGTTTCTCGGATTAGGATTATTACCGAAAAAAGAAAAACAGAAAAAGCAAAATTGTCACTTGAAATGTACAGAATTGCAAAGGCATCAATTGGAGGAATTCTGTAATATAAGAACATAAGAATGACAGGCGCACAATCTTTTCCACTCCAAACGAACTGCTGCACGAATATATTTCTAGTAAGTTCAATGCCATAAGCGTCGAGATCTAGATCACTAAAGAAGAAAATACCTTTCTGCATTGGTAATTTTAGGGAACAAGAAGAAAAAAAGAAGCAAAATTTCACTACTCAAGATAGTTTTAAGTTGATGTTAAAGTTTCTCTAGACATGTCTAAATTCTTCATTTTTCTCCCTGTCCTTATATAAGACACTTATGTAATTTAATTTAAAGCAGTTGATGAATGAACACTTTCTGAGTATCTCTTCGTTACAGCTTCTCTCTTCTCTCACTCTCCCGTTAACTTTCTCTCTTCTCCCTTTCTCATTTTCTCAGTCTTCTCTACCCTCTTTTCTTGGTTCTACATCAAACTCTTCTCCCTAAATTACTCTTTGTGGCTTTTCCATCTTCAAAAGCATCTTTCTAAGCAACTCATTGATCCCCCGATTGAGCTAACTGACGCAGCCTAAAGAAAGTGACGTCTTAAACTAGCAGCATCTCACCTCATCCTTGAAATCAAACATGACAAGAAAACAGAGTGAGGTAGAACTCCTCACTCTAAGAAGTACTTTACAAGACACAAATCTAAGGAGGGTCCTTGAAATCAAACATGAAAAGAAAACATAGTGAGGTAAAACTCCTACACCATAGTAATTTGTACAAGCATCAAGGTAGCCAAACATCTAAGAAGTACTTTACAAGACACAAAACTAAGGAGGGAATATTAAAGGGAAAAAAAAGGGAGAAAAAGAACCCTGCAGTTTTAAGAGTCTTAGGTTAAACATACCTCCTGCGATATTCCCAGTGACGCTTTCGTTCCATCATATAACGAAAAGCATGCTTCAGAAGTAGATATACGCCGAAGACGGTAAAGCCCATTGAAGCATACTTGTACCATCTGAAAGGAAAAGAACTTATCAATACTATTTATGGGACCACCATAAACAATTCCTGGGCGCATATAGACATACTCATGAGGGAGTTTTTTTTAATACTGCAAAATCCCCCGGGGCAAGCTGGTGCACCGTATGAAACTCGGTGGATAATAGGCCAGTGCCTCTACCCTTCTCCACTTAAATAACCCCCCCCCCCCCAAACCCTCACAACTCATGGGGGAATTGACATGTTCATGCAAGTTATTTTATGAACTTCCATTTTTCCTAGACATATGTGTTGAACGGATATGATAGTGGTAGGGTGCTTCATACAGATCTTATAAAATACACTACCCTAATAGAATGTACTCATGGCAATGAGTTTGAACTTAACATTGGACGCCACTGGCCAGCCTGTGTATGTATAGTTACTTGGGAAAATATAGGGGTGATTATAGTTGGAAAGTAAAGCATACTAACCTTGACCATTTCCCAAGATTTGCAATGAGCTGGTCAATAGTTTTATCAGAGACATAAAACGGGCCTTTGTGCGGTCGCTGGATCCGAATTGTTCCAATGTCATCCGTAACAGCCTGAAACAATTATAAAGGTAAAAGGAACTTGTTACACTCTACAAACAGCTCTTATCTGCACCAGAGAGGGGGTGACTGGTGTTTAAGCAGACTAATGTAGTACAAGTGAACAATGAATGCTTAAGCATAGCTAGAGTAATATTGTAATATTGGATGAATGTTCATACTCTTATTTCCTTGTTAGTTTTTTATGTATGTTATTTGTTTTATTTATTAATTTTCCTTTAAAGTATTCCCTACCAATCAGGTAATGATGACAAATGAAAAACACGAGGAATGGCAAATTTAAAGCAAGTCCAAACTTTGGATGCTTGCTCCTCCCAGTTGCAACAAAAGACCCAAGCCATTTTGTATATTTTTTTTTATGTTAATACACTTTTGATATGCATTTTATGTTATTCAAAGGTATAGTTAAATTTCTGTATCTCTTGGATCAATTTGAGTTTCTTATATATAGAGTTGAATCCTCTTAGGAAGTCTCCTCCTTTTTAACCCCCAAGAATAACAATTTTTTTTCAAACAAAAGAATGCGTCAACTAATACTAATATTTCTAATTCAGATAAATACCAATTATAAGAAGGTACTGAGACTTGATAAGTATATAGAAGGTGTTCCGTTTCTCTAGCTTTCTTATCAGTGGTCATCAGCTTTATTTACCATTACTTTAGGAATACATAGAGCGGGTAGTCAATGAGTTGACAGAATTTAGGTATTAGCATCATCCAAATTCTGTTAATGTCTGTTGCTCCTTCTATGAGGCAAAAAACAACAGTTTTGCTTTCAGGTAAAGTACTGTGGCACCAGTTCGACAGACTTTACCAAATTCTTCTGATCATAAGTTCTTAACAGTTTTTTTATCAAATCTCAGGCAAGTCTTGACAGTAACCTAGTCATATTCAGATTTACTATATTATTCAGCTTTCCTCTTCTTCTTTTTTAATTTAGAAATACTAAAATAATAGGCATTTCACAAAGAACATATGAACTGCATAAAAAAACCAGCTACTCAGTTATCAGATGTATCGTATCATATCTCAATAAATGGCTAAGAATGTTGTCATCAACTATGATTAAAAGACATAAAAAAAAATTGAGTGTCACTTCAGAAAGAAGAAAAGAAAAGTGTCTATATGTGAAGCAGGTGTAACAATCTCTACTCAAAAGGCATATCATACCTCGCCAACAACAGTCAAAGAAGTACCAACTGGTAGCACACGTTCAATCCTCTTCACTCCAAGCATCTTCAAAAGTAACCATCACTTAATTAACTTCATCAAAATACATAAATACATGGTTACACAGCAGATATGCAAGTGACTGATGAGAGTGGGTTCCTGCAATACACTACCTTCTACACTTATAAAGCTAGTTGGAAATAGCCTTGCCAGGAATGTATGAAAATAGGTTGGAGTCAAAGTTACCATCAACAAGATTTAGAGTTTGAATAATTAGCTAGGCGGATATTGCATCTTTGTCAAGGGTACCAAAATTACCATCTTGAGAAGTTTTGCTTTTCATCTGTCCTAACTCCTAACTCCCAGGAGCAATACTCAAGGAAGAGTTTGATACTTAAGACACCAGTTTAAGGGGTACACTAGGTTGACCAAAAGATGCGCACAGTTATGAAAAAAACAATTACAACCTGCACTATGACTGGTACTGAGAAGTAGACAGAATAGGAGAGAAAAACAGGTCGGTTTTCCTCTTCATGGTAACTAGTTCTTCCTATCTTATTATTCGGTACAATTGGCAAAGAAAGAGAAGATTCATATCCTTTTTTTGAGAAGGTAAGATAATTTTTATAAATAAACTAGCACAAACAGTGCTATTAAAACAAGATTCACATCCTTGCCTTCATGCAATTTCGGTGGAGAAAAATGTGGAGAGATATTCTCCTTCCCTTCTCTTTCATGTCCTCTCCCATTTACTTCTCCTCCTCCTTGTTCACTCAAAGTGAACTAGACAGCGAAACCATACCCACGCATGAATATGACTTACACGTAGAACAGAAGTTGTATGTCAAAACAGACCTTAAGACCTTGGAGATAATCCAATGTCCCTCGCACAAATGACCGTCCGGCTTCCTCGAAGACTTCACTTCCAATTGTCAGTACCAATCCCGAGGCACCACGACCACCAATTACAAAAGCACGGCCTGTGCCATCATCCTAATACACAAATAAAAAACAATCAAAAAATGCATAAACTTAAGTACCACAAATTTTTTAAAAATTTCATCTATACGGCCTGCAAGATTATTAAGATAGGAAGACAAGAGGGAAGTCATTCCAACCAGGTACCAAGGAACTTCTTTACACATCGAGAGCATCAATGCAGAATCCTGTATCCAAGAACCTGCATCATTGTGTTTCAGAAAATGTTGCTCGGCCTGTAATAATATCAATAATATTTAATATAACAGCATTGAAAGGAAATATAGACATCCTACGCTATTACGAGGCAACATAAAGAACGAGGCAACATACTGTTTCTTCCACGATCACGCCTCGTAAACCACTTAACTCACAGTTAATTGGTGTATCTGAACCAACCCTTCCAGATACCGTAACCACAAGAGGCAAAACTTTGGATGCAGTATCTAGTAGTTGTGCTAAAAAAAAAAAGGGAGTACAAAGATCATTCAAACTTGAAAGAGTTAGCTAATAAGAGGCAATAATAAGATGTATACAGTGCAACTATCCAATATTAAGTTCCAAACTCCAGAATTGGTAATGATGCGTAGTGAACACATGTTTGTCTTTCTTTTAATTTAGTCGAATATCATTTTATTAATTGCACCAAGATCGTGCCTGAATTACAATAACGCATGTTTTATTTATCCTCCAGAAATTCCATCCACTATCCATACATAAAGGATATCGTCTTTACACACAAAATACAAGTAACAAAGTAAAGAACTCTTATTCTCCACAAGCGCTTTTCAATTCCTTCAAATAATCTGCTACTCTTTATCTCCAGAAACCAGAATATACATAAAGGTAGGACCTTGCTAATTTTTTTCTTTATCTTCCTCGATGCTGATCTTCCTCCAACTTGTCAAGGCCATTTCCCCGGTTCTTGAATGTAACCGCACTGTAGTAGCGAAAGCAATTTTAAAAATCACAATAAATGAAGCTTCGCAGAGTAGTGGAAAAAGTGCAATGTGTAGTTAAATGATCTATATCTTCCTCTCCATTCTTACACGGTTGCACACGCAACACCAGTTAATCAATAATCATTCCCTGTATGTCTTCCTTAAGTTGTTCGCCATAATGTGGCATTCAGACTTGGGCACAAATTGGAGCTTGATCACCCACTTCCATTCAACTAATGATACTTCATTTGTTCCTATAAGATAGGAAAAAGACAAACGTACAGGGACATGTAGTAGGTAGGAATTCTAGACAAAGCTGACTTTACAAATGTTTACTTTGATCTCTTTGACAAAACTGCTTTTTCCAACTCTCGAGCCTCTCGAATTTCTCCACCATCGACCTCCACTACTCTAGGCTTAAACTTGTCTCCCAAAGGTAATCCAATATATTCTGCAGCCAGTGACACAACTTACGTCCTAGTATGCATTTCTCTTACCAGCATTGATTCCGACTTTCTCATGTTGACTCGTGGTCCCAAAACTGCTCCAGATCATACCAATCTCTCCATTGAATAAGTATCTAATATCTCTTGTTCATGCACAATGAAACAGTTATACCCTCATGTTCAAAGCTAGTTCAGTAATTTGCGAGTGACTTCATAACTAGAAGGAACAACAATGGAGATAGGGGATATCCTTGTCTAATATCTCTACTGCTCCTAAAAAGTTCATTCCTCCATATAAGAGGAATATTCAAATTTGCAGGGTTATACACCTTTTCAACATCCAATTTGCATAGTAAACCCCCAACTTACTGAACTTACCATGGTACTGAATTGCCTAAGTATTTCAGCTAACACAGCCTCACTGGAATATGGTCGGAACCTAGCTCCCATTTGGTACTCTCTCATCCTATATACTTCGGCAGAACCCAATAGTAAGCTGAATACAATAAATAATCCTAGCTCCACCACATAAGTTAGAGCCTCTATTTTTTCCAGTTTTAAATTAATAATGGTAAGCTGAATATAAAAAAAAAATACATATTGGTCTACACAATAAATAATTCACAGAGCTAAAGTTAGTTACCAAGATCCTTCAATTGATTGACCCTTGTAACGGATTTAAGCACTTCAGCATCTCTGAATTAGGAAAACAAAAAAACCCAATTTTAATTCACGGGCATATAGTTAATAGCGCAATAAAATTCGAGAACCAGAAAAGAGAAAACAACAAAAAGATGAAAATTTTAAGATAAGTAAATAAATAAAAAGGTGGAAAAATAAAGGTATAAACCTTCCACTACTCCTGCCGAGAAGATAAAGAGCGGCTGCACTCAAACAGCAAGATAATCCGCCCCACGGTACCATTTTCTGTAGTAGCTCCAATAATAAACCGAACAAAAAGAAGAAGAAGAAAAAAGAACAAAATTGACAGAGATAAAAACTAATTCTTGGCCCTAAGAATGAAATTCGTAGTAAGGCAAACAATTATCAGGGCACTAGAACCCATACGACAAATAAAAGTGCGAAATTTATATAATTATGAGAATATTAAAAAGCTGAAAAGAGAGAATTATTTGAAAAGGGGATTAAAAAAATTAAAGGAATTTGAAGATGAAGACACTCCATAAGATGCCAAGAGTGGGTAAGAGGATGATCGGCAATACTTCAAACTCCAGTTATCCTCTGATGTCACACTGTTGTAAATTAAATTGTATGTAGATGTCTATTCCATATAAAATTACTTGGACATCAATCTTTTTAGTTTAGGAAATTTATTATACTTTACTTAGGGTTCAAGTTGTTTTAACTCCTAAAAAAAAGTTTCTTTTTACTCCTATGAATGAATAATAAATATTGTTTCTTCATTTGGAAGACATAAACAAAGGTACTACAACTATAAATTATTGTCCTTGAATTGTAGAGTTAGAATAATTTTCTCTTCGCTAAAATTTGCCTCAAATTTATCCATGTTATTATCAAATTGACTGGTCTATGTCCTTTTGGACTAAAGGACTTAAATTTTTGTAATTTCGATAAATAATTAATTTTTTTAGCCTAATTAAGATGTCACCTATGTCCACTCAATTTGTGCTGAAGTTTTATTAGTAAAATCAAGGATATATATGAGACATACACAAAAAAATTAATGGTCTTAAAGTATAACATATATAAATTAAAACATTTCCTATAGTATATAAATCAATAAAGAGAATATAAACCTTGAAGACCTAAAATCTCAATAGAGACAAGGAAACATTAGTAAAAAGAATTTCAATTCCTATCTACCTAAAAGTTTTGGGAAGGGAAAAATCAAAAAGTATAGTAGAGGGTTAAATTCGAAAAATTTCCCATTATTTGTTTATGTTTATTTACAGGAAAAGGCCTCCAAATTCGGACCTAAACCGCTACTTAATTGGTTTTCCCTTCAATTTCAAATTACGGCAGTGCTGAACTCCATTCCACTCTCGATCGGCCGTGGACTTGTTTCTCAGCTCTCTCTTTCTCCGGCGAAATCACGAGTAGTAAGTTCCCCTCTTCGTCTCTCTTTTCTCCGCCACTAGATTTCACCTGACAAAAACCCTAATCCATATTTTTCTATGAGCTTAAGGCTAGTGTACAACATCTGAAAATTCGGGTTTGCAATGCTTTGTGTTTGCTCCGAATGTTTAAATATAGCCTCAACTTCAATTTTTCATAGTTCTATGTGATTCTTGTTTGCTTTTCACGTGATAGTGGCTCCAAAGATGTGTTTTTTTGTGATTCGTTCTCTTAGGAAAGAGGCAAGATGAATAAAGCCGGAAATGATAGAATTGTTTAATTATCTATCGCAAGAGTTTTAGTTCAGAATATGTTTTCGACATGTTAGGACTTCTATTTCAGGTTCTATGTTTTCTAGGAGCGGTTTAGCCTTCAAAGATTTATAGTTTAGAAAATATAGAGAACTTCTTATAATTTTTATTGTATTTGCATAATATATTGGCATGAGATGAGTTTGATTGGAGTAACATGGTCAAGAGTCTCAAGACGATTCGTATAACAGACCCAACTTGTTTGTAACTGAGACATAGTCATAAGTTTCAAGTCATTTACCAAATTCGTTTCTCAAATTCACGAATTTAAATTCAAAAATTATGTAAATTGCCCCTTAAATTCACTTCTAGGAAACTGGCCCTTTTAGTTAAGATTAATATGTTAGAGAACTTGATAGGTGATATCCCTATAAATAATACTCCCTCCATTGCATCTTATATAGTGTTTGATGGGGTATGGAGTTTAAGAGATGAATTGACTCATAAATTATGTGACTACTAGGATAAATGAGTCATTATGAGAAACCATTGAAGTGATGATTAAAAAGCTAGTTTGATGGACACAATAAAAGGGCAACTCGGTGCGCTAAGTTCCCGCTATGCGTGGGGTCCGGAGAAGGATCGTTCCACAAGGGTCTATTGTACTCAATCTTACCTTGTATTTCTGCATGAGACTGTTTTCATGGCTCGAACTCGTAACCTCCTGGTCATATAATCATGTCAAAATTTGAACTTTGAATAGTTTAATGAATTTGAATTCCTAAAAATTGTAAAATTTGTATAGAAATGGAATAGCATATTACAAATTGGAAACACGGGAGTAAATTTTGTTACTTAACATATAAACTGTATGAATTTCAGATTCCTGGCAGCTGAACCCGTGAAAGACACAACAAACTAGCGACAATCTTCCTTTCCCATAGAGATAAGAAAATGGTAATATTACTTTATCCTTTTCTTTTTGCTGTTCTTCTTCTTGATTAAGTTCTATCTTCATTGAAGTCTTATGGTTGTTATAGATTGGCAACTCTGATTCCTTCACGGAATGAATCCCTTTTTCTTATGTTTTTGACTTGTATCTAACTGAGTTTTCTCCCATCCCACCCTTTCCAGTTGTTTTTTTCATACTTCAAGGACCTGGTGGGCAGAGAAGTGACAGTGGAACTGAAGAATGATTTGGCTATCCAAGGCACGCTCCATTCAGTTGATCAGTATCTCAACATTAAGCTCGAAAACACAAAGGTCGTTGATCAAGACAAGTTCCCTCACATGGTAATTGCACCTTTTTTCTCCTTCATATGGGTTTTGTGTGTTGGTAAAGGATTGCTTTATTGATTAGTAGTGGTAACTTCTGCCCTTGTATATTTTATGGATGAATGGTTGGATTGTTATGCGTGCGAGAATTTTCTTTGACCTCTGATCATTGGTGACTAAATTAATCCATAGGAAATGTTGTAGGGTTCGCTATTCTTCTATATCTTTCAACAACAACAATAGCCCAGTAGAATCCCACTAGTGGAGTTTGGGGAGGGTTAGGTGTACGCATACCTTACCCCTACCCGGGGGTAGGGAGGCTGTTTCCGGAAGACCCTCGGCTCAAGACATCATAATGAGTTCAAGGAGATAATAGTTTCAAGCAGATAATTTGAGAAAAAGAATTTTAATTACTTATTTCTTTCTTCAATGAGATATATCTTTCTTCTATATCTTTGCTATACGTATTTCTTTTGTTTTTATTTTTAAAGGAGTATACTTATTTCTTATTTCTACTGTTGCTTTCATTTGGAAAAATGGTATTCATTGGACATTTTGTTGGTGATGATGACTCCCCCCCCCCCAAAACA